TATTTAGGTCAAGATATGATAGTGACTCCACTACTGTGAGTGATCATAGTGCCTTTGAAGAAGTCCTTCCTCATTATCCACGACGAAAGTCTGCTGCTGGACTGAATTCCTTGAATGACTTACCAGAGGATATTTTGATTCTTATTTTATCATACCTGTCTACAAAAGACCTTTGTCAGGCATCAGGGGTTTGTCGAAAGTGGCAGGCACTCTGCTGGGATCCGGTGCTTTGGTCGCATATCAACATAACCAATTACCAAGACAGTGACATCAATAAAGTTCTACGGAATCTCTTGGCAAAGCTAGCAATGGACACCCAAGGTTACTGCATGACTGTCCACACTATTAAATTAAGTGGCTGTGAACTTTTATCAGACAAAGGTCTGGGTTTCATTGCGCGGTTCTGTATAGATCTTGAGGACCTGGACGTGTCAGGCTGTTGTTGTATAACCAGCAAGGGGCTTCATGATATACTTCTGAATTGTCAGACTCTAACCCATCTTGACACCAGTGGTTGTACCTGCATCAACAGTATATCAGCACCAGTAGCAAATGGATTTGGGCATCATGGCTCATTTCTACGGTTACGACACTTGGACATGAGTGATTGTGTTGCCTTTGATGACTTAGGGCTGAGAGTTGTGGGTCTCAGCTGTAATTTGCTTGAGAGCCTCTATCTCCGCAGATGCAATCGTGTCACTGACGTTGGCATCAAGCATGTTGCACAGCACTGTAGTCACCTTAAAGAACTCAGTGTTAGTGACTGTTACAAAGTGAGGGATTTTAGTTTAAAGGAAATAGCCAAGAATTGTGCAGGCTTGAAGTACCTTAGTGTAGCAAAATGCCCAGTAAGTGACACTGGGATGAAGTTTATTGGAAAACACTGTGTTAAATTAAAGTACTTAAACATCAGAGGATGTGAAGCTGTGACAGATGTTGGTATCACTCATATAGTTCAGAACTGCTTTAAACTGAGATCCCTTGATGCAGGGAAGTGTGACATTACTGACAATGGATTACATATCATTGGTATCCATTGTCCTCAGTTGAAGAAACTCAGTATACGAGGATGCGAGCGTGTGACAGACACAGGAGTCAAGACTGTTGCTGCCCAGTGCTGTAGCATCCAGTACTTGAACTTACAGGAATGCAGCCTCAGTTATGAAACTTTTATGTATATAAGAGAGCACTGTAAAAACTGTGTTATAGAGCATACATGCCCAGCTTTCTTCTAGCTTCTAGGTCTGTTAAAATACTGCCTATAATTGCACTACTGACAGTAAGGGATGGAGTAGAAGAAGCGACTTCCATGTTACTATCTTGAAGAGTCTCATTACGTAAGTTTAACGTATACCAATGACACTCGTAATATAGGAGTATAAGCATAATTTAACTCTTGAAAGATTATGACTTGAAAAGTAACGAAAAGTAACCTGGTTATTTTATCTTTTAGTCCTTTCCCCTTCACATTTTTTTAAAATGAAAGTTTTATCTTCATCAAGTGTATTCTATGAATAATGTTGTGATGTTGATTCCTTAACAGGATCTTACTAAGTCAATAAAGGTTGGGTTAACTTACTAGAGAGAAAGTACAGCTCTATTTAAATATACCTGTAAAATTATATTATTACTAGTTGTTGTTTTGTTCCATTAAACCAGTTTTGTTTGTTATCGACCACTGCATTCTAAGACACGTCAAGGCTAGTCTTTATCTGAAGGAAAACATTCTTATCAGTCCTGCAAATAATATTTACCACTTTTTAGAAAGGACGTGATGGACCAGGTCACTGTTCCAGATGGACAACCTAGAAAAGTTGTTGAACATATTGTTACACTGTCTTGACTTTTAATTTTTTTAATCACCTCAGTTTGCAAATCTTCATCTACAAGTTAGAGTAGTAGTCTTTAGTATCTGATCTGTCTGTTCATCATGTCAGACCACAGGTATAATTTCATGGACCAATAATATTTTAGTTGGTCATCTGCTGATGACTGTCATTATTATTTTTTTTTAGCCCTGTGCATAGAAAATTTCTATATATAAGCAGTGGTGATAAATTAAGCTGAAAATAGTATAAACAAATTGGCAATTTGTACAGTATAAGCAGACATGTTATTTGTGTTATTATGAATGCTTTAATTCAGAAGAAGACTGGCAAAGTTTAGTTATTTATGGTGTAGATCGACTCAAACTTTCCACTTCTTCAGTTCAGCAGTCGAAAGAGACCTAAACTGGAGTGAATACATTTTATATTAAATTTTAGGTTTGCTTTTATTATTAAAATTAATGGAGTATATAATATTTTGTACAGTCCACTATACCTGAAGTAATTATGCAGTTTGTAGTCTTTCGTGTATAAATATTATTTTGGTATAATTTACTGTAAATATGGACATTTACAGAAAGAGAAATATGGAAGTTCTATTCAGTAAAATCTTCTCATACTGTTGTATTATTTTTGATAAAGAAATATAATTCTTTTTTATGGCAATCATTGACAAGTAACATTATTAGTGGAATAGGCTACAATACTCGTCACATTTGTTGAAACAATTGTCAAGTGGTGCCCTCCTCAATATTGACTCATGTATCAACTCATTGTAGAACAATATACGCGAATCTCAACATTGGGGAAGCAGCAGACAACTACACTTGAGGAAAAATTAAATAAGTTGGTTGAGAAGGCGTGACATTAAAAATTCACAGTTTCAGTTTAGTGTTTCAACGAAATTTGACAAGTATTGTAGCTATCTTTCTTGCTAACCTTCAACCAAGAAGTTACCTTTTTTCTTCCTTCCTTCAACTTACAAATTTACAGATTGTATAATTTATATTATATCATAATATATTTACATGCCTCCATTTTCATGACCTCTGCTTCATTAATTACAGTTAGAGGAAGGTAATGATGATCATTAGTGAGATTTGATGGATTAATTATTATAATATTACAATACCAGGTTTTGTAGACTTTTTATTTAGTCACCCCTATGGCATTATCATTGTTGAAGAAAAAAGAGAATTGTTGTTGGCTAATCTCTGTTGTAATATTCATCTTATAGTGATCTTATTGGGAAAAACTTAAAGATGTAAAAGATTACTGGGGAAGGGGTTCTTTCCTGCATGGCTAAATAACCAGCTCAATGCATTTTAATCAAATCATTTAAATGTCAACCGCAAAAGATAAAAAAGCAAATAGCTACCCCCTACCTTAAGTGTCTGTGAGCAAGCCTCTCAGAGAGCTATTAATTGTTACACACTACCAACACTAATGTAGGGTTTTAAGGGTTGCATGTGGTATTGTTTTGTTGAAATAAGGGTTTAAAGTAAGACCCTACATTATTCATGAATTGAGGCTAGGAGACAAAGGTAATTTAGAATCAACCAGGGTTAAAAAAATTTAACTTTGACCTGTTATTACATAGCCATTAAATTGGAACCACTATGTTGGAATTTAGAGCATAGGAGAATGTCTTTGCTGTCATGTAATGGATTTTTATGATGGAAATAATGAGCCAACAATATCTGAGATGGTCAGGGCTGGGAACAATAACAGGCAAAAGTGTTAGAGAAGGCTCTTACTTTTAACCTCTTTTTTCTTTCCTCCATCCCAATGCTGTACAAAACTAAAGTGTTTGTTATATCCCAACATTGAAATAGGGGAAGCAGGGTCTGTGATACTTAGCAAAAGGGAAAACCATCCTTTTTGAATATGAAAATGAACTGCATTAAATGATGTAATGATTCTGTTGGGTTGCAACACTTCCCCAACTTTTTAATTCTGTGAGATTGTAGTCCTAAATGTTATAAAGGTGTCCATCTTAGACATCTTAACACCACCCTACATTAGGGTGAAGGGAGAAATTTTGAGAACAAAGCCAACACGTGTTGCCCTTGCCTGCTCTATAAACTAACCGAATCAACTAACTAATGCTTTCCATGCAGGCTATCTTATTAAAGTCACTGAAGAAAGTCAAAGAATGTGATTGAATAACAGCAGAGACCAACTCGAGGCCGATGTCAGGGAGCAACAGGAAGGAGATGGGGTCCAAGACACTCTAAATGCATCCATGAGACTAGAAACTTTAAAGAAATTCCTCGATCCGCCCCTGGGAAGGTGTCCCCCCCCCCCCCCCCCCCCACCCCCCCCCCAAAAAAAAACACAAAATATGAAACCCCAATTTTTTTTAACCAATAAAAAAACACTTTACTTTGGGGTATTATTCTCAAAAAGCGATTTTTTTTGGCCTTGGGTGTTTTTTAAACTCTTCTTTTTTTTTTTAAAGGAAAAGAATGTGAATGAATAAACGCAGAGACCAACTCGAGGCCGATGTCAGGGAGCAACAGGAAGGAGATGGGGTCCAAGACCCTCTAAATGCCTCCATGAGACTAGAAACTTTAAAGAAATTCCTCGATCCGCCCCCGGGAAGGTGTCCCCCCCCCCCACCCCCACCACCCCCCCCCCCAAAAAACCACAAATGGTCAACCTCATATTTTGTGTAGCCAATAAATAAACTTTATATTTGGGGTCATACTCGCAAATAGCGATTTTCTTTGGCCTTGGGAGTTCTTTAGATCCCTCTGTTGTTATTTTTCATGAAAATAATGTCCTCCATGGCCAGCTGTTTGCGATAAGGGGGCGGGCGTGGAATAGAAGGGCCAAGACCGGTCGTAAATACGAAATGCTTTGAAATATTGTTACAGCTAAGCTAAGCTAACAAGCTAAGTGGCATTAAAATGTCGCAGAGTACCTTTTAATGGATGCATCCTCGTCTGGTAAGTGGCCAAATTATGAGATTTCTTAAGAGTATATTGTTGTGTGTACTGATCGAGGAGCTGAGGGCCGAAGCTGAGATGTTCACCACGAACGATACTACACTCGCACTGCATGATGGGATTTCCCGCGCTTGCATGAAAAAGGCATTCATTAGGGAACCCGGGAAAAAGGCATCGAAAACAGCTGAAATTTATAGTGATGATCTCGTGTTATTTTTCAGTGTTGTCTCCAAATATCTCCCCTTCGTCGACATCAACGTTTTCCTTTGAACATTAGCTTTCACCAGAAGAGTTTTAACCGCGATCGCTGCAATAGAAACCCGAAATTATGTCTTCGAACAGAAGAGCTTCGTTTCAAGTGAATGTGCTTCGGCGGAGCCCTCGACGAAGAACGAAGACTCCATCTGTTAATGAACTGCCGAAGAAATGTAGTGAGTATACAAGAAGTCTATTTTTATTGCGCTTGTATGTTGTAGTTTCATCTAATGTAGTAAATCTCATGTTCTGATTGCTTGCGGTCGACGCAAACTATAGGGACGCTGCGTTGTGAAGTTCTATTGTTGTGCCGTCTTCTTTGTTGGGAATAATTAGGGTTAACGAAACCGTTGTTGAGTGGAGGCATTTTGTCTTATACTTCGACGATAATGGCTTTAAGTTACCTTGAAATTGATTTTTATTACATTGAAGACGTCTATGGTCTCAACGACACTGCTACGACTTGCTAAAATAGGTTCATGTGGCTTTGAATGTCTATAATAAAGCTGGTTACACTGTCAGTTTTCCATAATTTTTATAAAAATTCCTTTCCATTACAATGATCTATGAACTAAGTCGTTTGTAGAGTGGTACAGCCTCTTTGATCTGACCTTGCATGGTTAGTAGTAGCAGAATAAGACACAAAATTCAGGACAGGTTTTTAGACATCAGTAAACATTCCAGCCTCCATCATTTTGAACTTCTTATTACAAGGAAAAAACAAGAAATTTCAAAGAATTCCAGCAAAAGTCATTTGAACCAATTAGAGCTAGACTAAAACATTAAAAGATTAAAATAATAGCACCTCAGTGAATCAAAAACTGCATTCCTATGAGTGCAATTTCACAAATTGTTTACACTGTCTGCTGTCTGATTGTGAAAAAAATAGAATTTATTTGTATTTACCAGAGTATTTACCAAATCAGTGAATAGCAATTTTTGCGCATTTTGATTGGCTCCCGTTCCTTGGAATATCCTTGGCTATTCACTGTTTTGTGTCCAGTGCCAAGATGGCGTCTCGTTTCAAGACATATTTGGAAGACGAAATTTGAGCGATAAATGAAGCAGTCGTACAAATAAATACCAAGAAAGCGACGAACTCTGGCTTGTCGGTGTTTACTGGTAGGTAGAAAATTATTTTCAAGCTGAATTTGCAAAAAAATGGTAAAAATGCACTTGATAAAATCCCCAAACTGTTTGTAAATTGTAAACAAAGTTCCTACTAAGTGATGTTTTTAGGCGACAAGAAGGTTTGTTTTTTTGTTTTTATCCAACTGATTCAGTAAATACTAAAACAACTATCCCCCTCAGGGTTGGTGAACAGCGCTTGATATATACCTTGATGCTTCGCGTCTTGGTATAAATTATATCCACCACTATTCACCTCCCCTTCGGGGGATAGTTGTATATTATTTTCTTACTAATGTGTACAGCTAGAAATTCATGTGCAGAAGTTTATTTTGTTTTATTTTATTAGCCTAACCACATGAAGCCAGTTATTGTGGGCCCATAACAGTCCCTTCCCCCATAAAAGTTAGAGCACACTTTTAAGGTCTATGTCCCCTACCCCTTTTCAATACAATGTTGTAGGTTCTGATACCCCTTGGAAAGGAAAAGAAAGGGAGAGGGAAACAGGGCTAACAGCTTAGCACTGGTTATGATTTACAGTGTTCACTCCAGGCTGCATTTTTGCATCATTGACATGGTAAATTACAGTATATCCTGACCCAAAATGAAATTATAGTAGTGTCATACGGTCAATAGAAACTAAAGAAAACAAGTTTATAGATCACACAGCAGTGGGCATTTGACAGTAAATAACATAAAAACATGTGATTTCCAGCACTCTTTGTGTCAGGCATTCCATGCAATTCTGAGAAAGACTGGAAGCTGCACATTTTGCATGTATTGCATTGGCCATCAATGTTTTTCTTAGTTCATTTGTTCTTCTTTGTAAGAAGGAGCAAAGAAGAATGATAAGAGACAGGAGAGATAGTTTGGATGATGTCAGTTTTCCAAAGTTTTTTTTAGATGTAAGAGCATAGCTAGACCTGGACAAGTGTTAAAATGACCCAATTTAAATTAGCATAAGGGACAGTACATAATGACCCACTTTGACAAATTTCTAAACTGAACTCTGGATTGATTGGTTTTGTCAAGAGGCCTCAGCTACAAAAGTTGCACCGTAATACTGGATCTCTTGTTTTCTCTTATTAAGAAATAAGTCCTAGAGGGAAACGAAAACTGGAGTTTCAGCACGAGAAGCCACTGAAAGGACGAACATACTACTTGGATCTTCCAGGCTACAGGAAACTCAACAGTTTACAAACAAGAATCAAGGAGTTAGGAGGGGTAAGATATGAGGACGTCTCTTTCCTTTACACCTACAGACGACGTCAGTCTCTATAACTTCATGTGTTCCCTACCTCTATGGCAGCTGGGCTTACACAACGTGTGGTTCCAAAAATTATCCATACCTCCCCCACGGAAGGGATTTTTCCCTAGACCCCACCTTACCTCTCGGGAAATTCCAGTCAAGCTTCATACATCAGGAGTTTCTACTCCCTTCTATGGGGGGAGTATAGATATTTTCTGGAACTACACAATCTTGAAAAGACCCTGAATTCCAGAGGAAATTCTTGAAGAGTCCTTGATAAAGATCTTAATTTCTGGTGCAAACCCTGTCTACAATACAGACACCTCTGTAATGTGACAGTTAGGCTGGTCCCTTTGGTGGTGATTTCATTACAAAAAGCTATAAGTGGGTCCTGGCACTTATCTTGTGAAAAATCATTTCTCAGTCCAAAAAAGAAATCAGTTATTTTTGTTGGAGTATTTACATTGAATTGCCACTGTTTGTTTGTTTAGAATCTACTTTTGGACAGCTGTGAAAGGCAGACAATAAATTTTTGCTCTCTTGACTGAGATAAGTTTTATAACAGACAAAAATCACACCAACATTACTCTTCAAACATCTCCAAATCAATCAGTTGATTCATACCCTGAATTATTTGCCACTTTGGAGATTTTCATGTGTCAGAGACACAGGGTGCAGAGACACTGAATATGTTATAACAGTCATTTGTTTTGGCTGGGCAGCAATATTTTCTATCAGTTTAAGAAGGGCTGACCACCTGGCCTTACATGGTAAATACTTAGGAAAAAACATTACCTTTTGTAACAGGAAAATGTACAATTAACGTGACATTTTTAACTGTATTCATAACATGAATCCCACGGCAAGACCAAGTATGGAGGAAAACAAGTCACATGTGGCATCCATGTTTTTTTGCTCAAAGAAGAAATATCTACACATCTATTTCTGGGGCTTTTTCGTCAAATTTCAAAACTTTCAGGGCTTGTAAGGACCAACAAGAACCAAGTTTGCTGTTTGTGCCTCAATGCTACAACCATTTGCAAAATACTTGCAACACTGTACAGTAGTTGGGCTTAATTGGCCTGCCCATGATCTTGTGCTTGCGATCACCCTTCTTCCCTTGTCAAAGTTGCAAGTAATACAAGACCTTTCTCAAACCATTGAGGAACAACTCTGAATGAAGGGGAGGGAGGGAGTGAGTGTTATATCTCATATGTGTGACTAGCAGCAATTTGTGGTTAAAAAGGCCGTTTTTTCGACAGAGTGTCTTATCATTAATTGTAACTGGTTTTAGCAGGATGCAATATTTGCATTGTCTGGTTATAAAGTCCAGCTGTATCCATGTTTAGCCATACATTATCAGAGATGTAGCAAAGGAGAAGCTAAGCAGGCTTTCTTATTTGTCAAACTGGCTTTTTTACTAAGTTGCATGTTTAAAATTACTCCATGTCTTTGTTTCCCAGAGCAGGTGAAATTAGCTGGCAGCTCATCCCTGCATTATAAAGCGATTCATCACGAAGTTGATGAAAGTCCACAGAAAGAAGAGCTCTTAGCTATTACATGTAATTGTGTAAGTCATATGTCTTGTAAGATTGAGTTTTGATGAGATATCTGTTTTCCTTAAAAGGTGGTAGAGGAGTTCCTGAGTAAGGACATCAGTTGCGTTGTTACAAACAGAAAAGATGTCGAAACAGGCTGCTCACCTCGAAGTAATTCCACACCCAGCCCCATCCTGTCAATTCCAAGTCCATTCCCTGGAAATACCAAAAGGTAAAAACCTTTTAATTGAATATAATATAAATACAATAGATGGTTCTTAAGAGTGGTAACAGAGAGGTTCTGTTTAACTCTAGCCAGCAATATGCCCCCTTTCTGTCTACATGTATATATATACTGTTACAGGTTGATTCTCAATTTATAATGTCTCCTAGTCCTAGGAGAAAAAATGCACTTTATTTGAGTGTCAAGTATTGAGCACAAAAGTACTAATAAGGGACACTATATAATAACGTCTCCGACTGGAGACGAGACTGCACTTTACGTGGTCATCCAAGCCATGCGAAGGTCTAGCCGCTTGCAGTGCAAAGGGAGTACCTTCATTTCTCAGTTATTTTAAGACCCTCAACATTGGTCCAGCCACGGTAATCAAACCCGGGACCCCCCGCTCTATAGTCAAGCGCTCTTCCAACTGAGCTAATCCTGCTGCAGTTAGAATCAATCTAGGTTAAAAAATTTTATCCAGAAACCAAATTTGACCCATAACATATAAATCCCAGGGAAAGAAGGCATTCCTTTTGCTTTCAAATTGGGACTTGGGAAGTTTGGAGAGCACTCAAGAAGCTAGAGTTGTTCTCGGCCATGCCTAGAGCACTGTGCCGTATTTGGGCTTAAATGGCCTGTCAATGATATTGTGCTTGTGATCGCCTTCCTGCCCTTGTCAAAGTTTCTAGTAACACAAGACCCATTCTCAAACCTTGGAGGAACAACTCTAAATGGAGTGGTACCCTTCTTAAGTCCAGGGTTGTCAGAAGGTTTTGAAGTAGACAGCTGAGTTCTTAAAGTAAGCAGCCAGTCCAGAGACATTTTATTTATAAAACACCATCCATAAACAAATTCTAAGTAGAGTAGCCAGCCGATACAAACCAAGTAGGCGGATATTTTTGCCAGCAGCTGGCTACTTTTGACAACCGCGAGTACTCTCCAAACTTCCTGCGTGCATCCATAACTCTACATACGCAGGTTAAGCATGAACCAATTATTAAACTTCTCTCTCTTTTTAAAAAGATTAACTCTGAAGTTTTGATGAAAATCTTAGACTTAGACTGCCCTAAATTGATTGCCAGGTTCTACAGGTTTTGCTGCCCTCACTCTGAATGTTCTGTGTCAATGAATTCATAATTAGAGGTAAAACAGAGTGATGATTTATGTTAATCTGGTTTACCAATAAATAATAATGATTATAATGATCGTTCGAACTTCATCAGCAATGATATTTCTCTGCGTTCACTTTTATTCTAGCTCATCAGCAAAGGGTTTTGCAGTACCATCTCCTCTAAGTGCAGACTCTGCCAGTGCTGAACAGCCAGGACCACACCCTCCTAAACACAATATACGTGGCAAGGCCCTTGCAGCACAGGCAGCACTTACATGCAAGCATGGTACTAGCAATGTCATTGCCAATGCAAGAAATTGGGGTGTGGAAATTGTATCACTTGAGGAGATGCTGGAAACCTTAGAGCAGTTTGGAAGCATTGTGAAAAAGCCCTCAGCTAGCAAACCACTTGTAACTGGACGAGTGCCAAAGCAAAGTGTTAAACCTAAGGTGCGAAAGTTGCGTGCTCCTTTCATCAAAGTTGAGGATCATAGCCATTGCTACAAGCCACTGGTCCATGAGTTGAAGGAATGGCCCAAGATTTATTTTGATAGTCCTCTGGGAAGCTGTCCATTTGACCCTCCAAAGGTTGATGTGGAAAATGATCATGAAGGACAAGACAAAAGCAAGAGGTAAAGAACTTAAATGACATGTTGCATGAATGGAACACCAAGTGCTGTTGGATTCAATGCCAATGTTCCCCCATATAAGGGCTGAAAATCAGTATTTAAAAAATTAATAGACAACAATTTTCCATGTTCTTTTCTCTTACCCTTTAAGCACAAGTATCCATTGCAAACACAATAATTTTCCAGACTGACTCCTTTTAGGGAACTAACCAGGGTTGTCAGAAAGTTTTGAAGTAGACGGCTGAGTTGTTTAAGTAAGCGGCCAGTCCAGGGATATTTTATTTAAAGAACGCCATCCATAAAGAAATATCGAGCATAGTAGCTGGCTGATACTAACGAAGTAGGCGGCGATTTTCGCAGTAATTTCTGTGGCAGCTATTATGGCTGTTGTTTAATGATGCATATTTCTTTTAGCCTTTATTGTGCTTTAAAATAGGACGATATACTGTGATACAAATATTTTGGAGTCTGTCTTCAGATTAACTGTCTGGTTACATAAAGGCCAAAGCATTTTCAATTTCAGACTCGCTTTTTTTAACTGGGACTCATTGGTTCTTGACTGGGACTCAAGATTGAAAAAGATCAAAAGAAGAAGATCAAAAAGTCCCAGGACTCAGCATAACTATTGGTGACAAAATCACTGCACCTGAGGGTTTATTCTTAGGCTTAATCTTAAAGCCAGTGTTTATGGCATAATAAACAGACCAAGGAAGAATATAATGTACTGCTCAACTGCTTTTTTTTAAATGGTGACCTTTAACCACAGAATAATGCATTATTAGTCAACATGGCCTGTCAGCCTGTCAGGTTGTAAAAACCTGTTTCACAGGGCATTACTAGTTGTAAGTAACAGAGCTGTTTTTTAGTCACTCAACCCATTCAATTCCTTTGTTGTGATCATTCAAATCTAAACTCATGTATTGTGCGTATAATGTCACAGGAATCAAGTCAAAGAAGATAAACACAAGAAGAAAGGATTTTGTGAATGCTGTTGTGTTCATTATGAGGATCTAGACTTGGTGAGAAATGTGACAATTTTCTTTTTTAATTAAAAAATCATTGAATTGATACATGAATTCAGACCTAAAACTGCTTTTTCGTAGTCTTAGCTCAACACTCAGCTCAGTAAGATTGTCTTTTTGTGAAGTGTGACAAGCATCTGTTGTTGTTTCCATGTAGCACCTACAAAGTGATCGGCACCAGTCCTTTGCTAGAGATCCATCAAACTATCGTAGTTTAGATGAGTTGATCAAAAAAGGCCCTAGCTTACAGGCCTTCCTGGAGAAAATGTTACTACAACATGAACAGAAGCAGAAAGAACAACAAGCAAAAAAGACGAGGTGAATACTGTAAAAATATATAGTATAGTTCAAGTTTATGGTAGCATAAACTGTTGTTAATAAACCTGAGAATGATGCCCTATGAAAGCACACTTAGGACATACTAGCAACAATCATGTCTCTGTTCTTATGTCACACAACGTGCAACATTTGTATAGGTTTTTGTACTAAGTAGTGGTAGATACTAGTTCAAAGTACAAGAAAGAACAATGAACACTAACTAGTTGTTTGATTACAATGTATCCTTCTTCTTTGGCAAAGTCCACTGTAATGTAGCATGATATATTACTAGACTCTACAAAGGTTCCATTCATATTATCACATGCTTATCATGCTCATGTGGTCCTTTTTTTGCGGTACACTGTCCTTTCCCAGTCAAAAATATGACGCCAAATAGACCTCTTCGGTGAAGCAGTCTCTCTTTATTAAAATACACCGTCTTCACAAATGGCGGACACGCGGGAAAAAACTGGTGCCTAGTCATGAAAGCGAGGCGTTGGAGGGTAAACAAAAATTGCAAATGAAGACTTTCAATGAACTTGCAGAGTGTTTAGCACGGATTCCACCTAAAATAACTTTGTACGGACTTCTTTTTAAATACAATTACGTGGGATGTCTTCTGCTTCTAAAGAGACGCGTATATCTTCAAGGAAACAGGATGATTTTGTAGGTTTCCGAAGCAAGTGGGCGATGGCTGGAGAAAAGCGGCAAACATGTTGGCCCAAACTTCACATTGAAACCGAGTTCGAAAGCCAGCTCACTGCAATTCGGTAAAACAAAAATATAAACAATGCAAATCTTGGTGGCAAGAAACAAAGAAATAAGCGATGGATATATGGCCTACTTGTTAACGCAAGAGACGTGTGCCATTGAACAAAACAGTTCAAATCGAGATGGAAAAAAGGAAGACAGGAAAGAAGCGGTGACTGAGGTTTCGATGAAGTTATGTTTGGTTTTTGTTTGCCAGGACGTTATTCTCTGGTCTTTATCGATGACGGNGTTTAACCTAGTAAAATGTGAGCTTTATACCACTTTTTTACCAAGAGCTCTCCGAGATAATGCCGTAAAGGAGACCAGGCAAATAGCAAGCCATAAGATTCACACACTAGAGCTTCTAGTTTTGATAAAATTATTTTATTTCGCAATGACAAAGAAATCAAAAGATTTTAAATTTGCACTAAATTTGCTAAGCTCTGCCAACGTACCTCTAACAATTCACTCCTAAGCGACGGAATTAATATCATCCAAAGGAAGTTGTAAATACAGACATACATAGATATGTGTAAAATGTCACTAACATGAATGAATGAGTCTCGTGAATGAATCTTTCACCCGCTCTCGACTTGACCTGTTTTGAGTAATGGCGGAGGTCTCTTCCGTTGACAAGTAGGCCATATATCCGTCGCTTATTTCTTTTTTTCTTGCCACCAATATCTGTTTTTACTTCTGTTTTACAGAATTGCAGTGAGCTGGCTTTCGTATTTGGTTTCAGCGTGAAGTTTGGGCCAACATGTTTGCCGCTTTTCGCCAGCCATCACCCACTTGTCGAGCTTCTGAGGCTTCGGCAACCTACAAAATCATCCTGTTTCCTTGAAGATATACGCGTCCCTTTTGATTGCAAACAGCAAATCAGTACGAAACATTAAAAGCAGAAGACGTCCCACGTCATTGTATTTAAAAAGACGTCCATACAAAGTTATTTTAGGTGGAATCCGTGCTAAACACTCTGCAAGTTCACTGAAAGTCTTCATTTGCAATTTTTGTTTACCCTCCAACGCCTCGCTTTCATGACTAGGCACCAGTTTTTTCCCGCGTGTCCGCCATTTGTGAATACGGTGTATTAAACGTGCAATCTTCATTTTCTTCCCTCCTCTTTTCTTTCTGTTCGCTCTTTCTATTTTTCCCTTCGTTAGTGTGATTTTTGGGCCCTTCGCCCCTTTTCCACTCAAGTGGCCGCAAATTTCTGCAGATGGATATACATGTATAAGACGAGTAACATGCAAGTGAAGTAATATCCCTGTAAGAGCATGATGAACCCTTAATGATTCTGAGAGTCTAATCACTGACTTCCTGAATCAGAAGGAAAGAAACGAAAGGACTATTTACGATAACAACTGCCCTACTCTATTACGATTCTCTCACGAAATATTTAAAACAACTACTAACTGTTTTTTTTTTTATACATACATGTACTATTTGTGTTTAAGGCATACTTTTACCGCTTTTGTAAAAAATGTCTCCTTTCTCCTTTCAGAAATGAATTGACAACTGCAGAAAAATCCGTGGTTGAAAACGAAAATAAAACCCCAACGAAACATAACACGCAAGAAATCTCACCAGATAGCCAAACGCCGGTCGACCATACCCCAGACAAAAAGAACGAGTGCTATACACCCACCAACCCCTCCCCAGGTAACACGAGTAAATGTCAAACATTTACTAACCACTCCTCCCCGGAGAAAAAGTCAAGTGATGATGGTACGCCAGCTAGAGTGTTAAGATCAGGGAGCACGAAATCTGACACCTCGATTGCCGAAAAGCGAAGCTCACGGAGCAGCCCAAGAACACAAATTGCTTTGAAGGAAAAGAATAACGAGGAACTATGTACTACAGAACAAAAGTTTGTAAAAACGAAAGAGCTTAATTTGGAGAAATCAAGCAATAAGTCACCCGAAAAACGAGCACGTCATGCTAAAACGCCTTCGACGTTATCTAGCGCCGTTGCGGGACGTTCCAACAGCGACAAGCCTGCGTCTGGTGTTCAGGAAGAGCAAGACAGCCATGTGCCTGCAAAGACAACGCTTAAAAAGAAGTCACCAAACCGAGAAAATCAAGCAGACCCTGCGGAAGCATGCTTGAAAACTCAAAGACGTCAATCAGATTCTTCTGGTGAGAGCAGCAGCAAAGAAAATCAAGATCCTGCTGCTCCGGTTTATTATTCAGTAGAGACGGCCGATTATGAAGAACACATGGGACGATCGATGCTTCGATCTAAGACGATTCTTGACGACCACCAACTGCACCTCAACGAAGATTACGTCGAACACGAGAGTCGTGTCGACGCTAAAACTGTTGAGGAAGGAGAGTTAAATCAAGATGTGGAAATGGCTTGTTCTAAAAAGTCAAGTCTTAGATCTGCGACAAAGTTGAGTCCTGCTCACGAATTAACAAATATAAGCTTACCAACAACAGATGAAGAAATCACTAATGCGGAAGCGCAAAAACAAAGCCCTGAAATACCGAGCGGTTGTTCTGCTGAAAAAATGAGTCCCGCTCGAGAGTTAAGGAACCTTAAATCGCCAGCAGAGATGGAAGAAGGGAACTCTTTGGAGTTGGAAAAGGGAAGCCCTAGACGAAGGAGTCTTAGATCTGCTTTGAAAGTCAGCCCCGCTGGAAAATTGAAGAGTTCTGAATCACTAAAAGAGAAGGAAAAACATCAGAGCCCCATCAAAGATGACTGTGGACAAGAACATGAAAAGTCAAGAACCAAGACTCTTTGTTCTTTTTCAAAAATGAGTCCTGCCAAAGATTTAAAGATCACTGAATCGCCCACTAGGGAAGAAGAGAGGAGTGCTGAGGTTGTGGAAAAGGGAAGCCCCAGAAGATCAAGCCTTAGATCTGCGACAAAGTTTAGACCTGTTGAAGGATTAAAAAGTCCTAAGTCGCCAAAATCAGTAGAAGAGACCAATGCAGCGGGAGAAAACTTACAAAGAACCACACGATCGCGAACTCAATTTTCATCGAAGACAAGTAGCCAGTCCTTAGGTGAAAGCACTTTCCTGAGTACAACGAAAGCAAGTAAAATGTCCATCAATAATGGCACAGTGGAAAACACCTTTCCTTCGACGCAGATGAATGATTGCTCAAATTCTGGAGAAATCACAGCAAGTAGTGTTTCTTCTCAAGTTGCTGAGGGATCCACAGACAAAGAAAAGTCAGCGTTTAACGCGGATAAAAGGAAGACGAATCCCCACATTCAAGAAAACGTGAGTGCGAGCGATACACGTCCCTCAAGAGGAGGCAAGACAGTAGCAGACAAAAGCCAGTCAGACAGCCAAAGTCCCCAATTTCGTTCCCGTGGTTCCGAAGTTGTCACTCATGTTAAGGTGCAGTTGCAAGACTGTCGCCGAATGTGCGTTGGTCGCAACAGACCCGTACTGGAAAGACAATCCGATGAATCAGAAACAGAGAGCATTCAGTTGTCAAGTGAGGAGAACTATTCGCCAACTAAAGACATGCCCAAAAATGGCACGTCTTCGGGCGAAGAGGGGGAAGAGATCTCTAGTACACCTACCCTGGACCCTTGCCCTTCATCTCCACGTTCGGAGAAGTCAGGATACTCCGACGAAAGGGGCGAATACAGTTTGCGAAAACGTGTTGAACGACAACAAGAAGAGAAAACAGGCGTCACCAGAAGGACACGATCAAACTACAAAATTTCCATTGAGGAGTTACAAAAGGCTGGCACTTCTGCTCGTGAACGCAGGAAAACCGTTCCTTTTCCTTATACAAGCGTCAAGACGAAGAGTCCAAAGCAAAGATGTAATTCTCTCCGAACCCTTGGGAATAGCACACCAGAAAAGAAAAAGGTCAAAAAGAGTAAAGCCATGAAAAGCCCACTTAATGAAAGTCCTCAAAGAAATGTCCCAAGAAAAGAGCCCTCGTCTGAATCCGAATCCAGCGCCCCTTCTGAGAGCCCTCGTAGCGGGCCCATTCGTGAAGCAAGAGACAGGCTGAGGCCTGTGGCTGTTTGTAACTTGAGTAGAGCGAGCCTTGACAGGGAAAATACAGAAACTCTTTCAGTGTTATCAGAAACCACCGCTTCGTTGGGAAATCTTTCGACAGTCGCTTTTTGCGGGACACCGCGTCACTCGAATCCCGAGGACTTGAAACGTGTGGGTCATCGCCCGAAAACAGGTGAAACGTTGCTGTCAGAAACGGAACTCTTGAGGCAAGAGGGGTCTCAATCAGCTAATTTTTTGGATAAAGATCGCACTATGGAGCCAAAATTTTCTCGCTTGTTTGATTCAGATGACGAGCCCGAAGACTTCTATGGTTTCCATGTACCACAGTTTGACAGGTCGTTTTCGTCGGAAGGAGATCTAAGTTATAAAATAAATTCTATAGTGGAAAGTATGAGTCAGGTAGAAGAAAGTCAAGGTACTATAGATGATGTTGAAAATGTCACCATACAAAAGGATGATACTGAAACCGAAAATGAACAAGAAAACGGTGCCAAAACCATTGACGAAAGGGAGATCATCAGACAAGAAAGAATTTACCAGAAAGTTGTCGAACAAAGAACCTCAAAAGTCTATGAAAGGAAGGTGACACGAAAAAGAAAATCAGTTAGTCCTATTGAAAGTGTCATTGCTGATGTAGAGAGGGTTCAGTCTTATTCCAGATGCGAACGACAAAGAGTCGGTGGTTTTTCCATGGATGATTCTTCCTTTGTGGAAGATGTTGATGAAGATGACGACGTGTTCAGTGCAGTGTCTGACAGCAGTGAAGGAGAAGAAGATGAAGTGTCATCACCGCTCAGCATCACTTCCTGGAGAAAGAAACGGAAGTCTGAAGACCTCCAACCGGAAATTGACAGGCCAGCGAAACGACGAAGGCCGCAAGAGCGATGGAGTGAGCTGTCTCTGGCTGAGTCGTCCGTCAGAAGTTCCATGTCTGAAACTCCCGTAAAATCTAAACCAGGAGGAGGACAGATACGGAAGAAAATTGGTAATAAGCAGCCGACAGGTTTAAAGTCAAAACTTGATGAAATGCTGGAGAAAGGGAACAAAAAACGAGTTAAATCTCTGTCCTCAATTGGTGAGTTCTACGATATTGACGAGCCAGTTTTCCAAACGCTTGAAGAACGCGTTAAACTTCGACGACTCAGGAAGATCTCTCGTAAAGCGCGAGAACGTTCCTCGTCATCTGAGCAAAATCAGAACATCGACACGCCAAGAAAATCAGAATCGAAGACCAAACCTTCTACGACTAAACAAGATACAGCACAAAAGGAGGTCATGCGATTACAAATGGCGTCGCCTAGAACGGGCAATTCGTCCAAGGCAAAGAGTGTTACCCCTCTTCGATCATCTTCGAGGCTTAACCGAGCAAAAAGTTCCTCTGGTGTGAGCGAGTCACCGCTTACTGCTCTTTCTGGGAAACCGCGAAGATCTACGTGGATTGATGAATTTAGCGCGTTTGCATCGCCGCCCTTGGAACTTCCAGGCGTTGGTAGAAAACGCTTTCGATGCTCTACGCCTGCTTCGGCAGGTCATCCTAAACATTCTCTGAGGCTGCGAGTAAGAGACAAAGTGGAGTCACGGAACGCAAAGCAAAAGGATCCGTTTGCGTTTGACGAGTAGTGGAATACTCATAACTAAAGCAAGGAGCGTGTCATATGAGAACCAGAGCTCAAGATTGTTTATAGATACTCATACTGTTATGTGCTTTTGACGTTGTAAATGACCTATGAATTATCACAGGCTGCACACTCATAAAAAAAAAAAAACAGGGATAGGTTTCTTCTCCGTTATGGTGACCACAATACATCGCTGGGTAAGAGCAAGAGACAGTTGAGACCATTTCAAGGTTGCATACCATTAAAAAATCCGTGAACGCACGTTCATCGAGTACAGCGTATAACGGCAGTGACACAAGCCCATTTACCTTTTCGTAGCTGATATAGTACCAGACACTGACATAGTACGTAATATAAAAAGAGCTTTTTTATGAACTAGAATGGATCTTTCGCTTGGTAAATTTCAAGCTATTACGTCTTCTGTTTTGGAGAAGGTCAGAAATATGAGTTTAAAAAACACTTTACATACAACGTACACGGAGTTAGGGATATTGGGATTTTGTGTCATTTGCATCTATGTCCTAATTTTGTGCCGAGATTTTAAGAAGCAAGAACGTTTGCAACAATGTATGCGGGACTTTAACTTTGTAAATTTACTGACAAACGTTGGAAAATGATTACAAACGTTCGGCGCCAAGGTTTCTGAAATAGTTTTGGTGGACAGTACAGGCAACGGTTGACGGTAGTTACCATAGACCGGCAATCAGTAACGTATGTCCACCCCTAACGAGGCCAAAAATCGCTGCCCATAATGCTTGCACCGATTACATCTGTTCCTTTATGTTCTTGAGAAAAAAGTTAAAGAAATAAGAAAATGTGGCAAGATGTACCGTAACACAGAGGGCAAAGTTTTTACACTTTTAACGTTGAACATTTTTAGCAAATATAGCATATGCTGCTATCTTTAGACTGTAACTTCAGCTAAGACTTAGATTTAGAGTTTTATAGAGTATTTTAGAACATGGGATATTGTAACATTTTTACCAGTTCAATTTCATATTGCATTCGACGACTTTTAGATCTTGACGTTTTTGAACGTTTGAGGTGTTGTGTGTGAACAATTGTACATATATATCTACGAGAAGAATTTTGAAGTGTTGACTTTTATAATCGAGGCAGTTAATAAAAGTTACAGAAATCTACGTGCAGTTGAAGATCCTTTGATGTCCTTTCGTGGTAAATTAATATAGAGCAGTTTCATTTGACAAGCAAATTGCTTGAGCCAGTCAAAACAGGCACACCCAAGACTTTTCACACAGCTTGCCTTCAGCTCCTCCAGTAGCTAAATAAAATGAAGTAACAAAACATGAATAGTAAGTGATTCCGGGATCAAGTGGTATTTTCAGGGCAATAGCTTGCTTCAAATAGATAAAACGGAAAGACGAACAGTAAGGAAGAAAGTGTCTCCCTGAACGATTCCACGTCGAATGCAGACTTCTCCTAAGGTTTTCCAATTCACAGAGAGATGCTGCTTCTTTTTGGAAGCCTGAGACAATTGCAGAAAATGAAAATATGACTCGTGGATGACGGAGTCCGTAAGATTAGAGGATACTGGAGTAGGACAAGTCCTGGTTTCAGCCTTCTTAGGGGGTGTGGACGTCCCCGCCCCCCGGACAAACGGATCACGACACCAAGGGTATATGACACTGTTTAGCCTTGGGTGGCATCTCATCTAGGACAAGGTACCGAAAACTCACTTTGTGATTGTATTAAATGTTAATACTGACATTATAAATGGTATGACTAGAACTAAAGATGATAGTCTCTTATCAGTTACTTACAGGAGCCATGACAAAGAGAATGTCAAGGAAGGCAGGGCAAATTTCTGCAGATCAAGTAAAGGGGATGGCACCTTATGCCTGGTAGATATTAACTGTTGCCCTGAAGGATGTCAATGGGAAATCACTGGCAGACGACAGTGATCCAGATTCGCCTCGTTGCTTGAGAGCAGGTATCTATTTGATAACGTGCGTTGTGTTAGGTTTAACAGCTGCGTTATTGTTAATAATAATTGTAATTTAAGCCTGAAAAGAACGCTTCCTACCTTTAAGTTCAATATATATTTTCTTATTTACTTATTTTACAAGAATAAAGGAAAAGCAACAGGGTATGAAATTTCACGTCGATACTTATTGGTTTTTTTTGTAGATCGCGAAAGTAAAGTCCCGCTAAAAATTTGTGACAATAACATATATTCGTCCTCCTAATAAGTGCTTTTTGTAGTAATAACGAAAATGTTAACTGCTCAGGTCTTTGAAAAGAACGTTTCTATAAATTATTTGTTGTCCACAGTTCTCATAAATGATTAATGCAACGTTCGCAGCACCTTTTCGACATCGCGCGACAAGCCATCAATTGTTTCTGGTATTATCCAATAATGTGCCTTCATGTTTTGAAATAATAGAAACTGGCTCACTGAGTAAGATTGAATTTACACATTTTATATTAATTACGAGAACATAGATGGAAGGTTTCGTTTATTTGCTAACGTTTTGGAAGAGGATGAAGACATTTCTAACTTTTAAAAGAATCTCGTGTGTCTCTTCTAACTTGGTATAAGAGTCTTTGAGGTAAGCATCGATATTATATTGCATGAAATGTGCTTTGTCATGAAACTAACACTTTTTATAGATCGTTAACATTCAAATATGACAAAGACGTTAGTACAAGTCACAGCATCACAGGAAAGTACAACTCAAGGATTTTAATCAATAAAACTTAGAAATACTGGAAAGCTAGAGTGGGCACTGTTCCCACAAAGATGTGCTTCTAAGACTTATTCAGTACCAATGGATTTGAAGGGTCCTTAATATTTATGAACAAATTTGAATCTTCTGACGTTTATAAGGGTACAGTTAAATCTTCCAAGCAAGTGCCGCATGAAAATAACTATTTCTTTGGTTTACACCGAGCTCCTGTGTTCCTCAATGGAGAAGGCCCAATTAACTATTTTTCTTCCCAAAGCAAAAAAAAATTAGTTTCTCAAAATGAATTTGTAAATTGCTGTATAAGAAAGAAATTAAGAAAGATAATTTTAATAGGAAGTGTAGCTAAACTACATTCATAAACGCTTTCCAGTTGCGCGCTAACAATTAAGAAACCGATTTTGTTTCGAAAACAGCTGCCAGTTTACAAGTGATTGAGTTTTTCAGGTTTTCTGTCGTCTGTTTGTCGTCTCTTCAAATTTGTTTTACAACAGACGACGATTCCTTTTTAGAATTTAAAGTAATTGTTTTGGCTTTAAAAATATTTATAAGGTTTGTTCGCCGTCAGTAACGCTCAAATTAAGTAATTTATGGTCAAATGTCGCCTTCTGCCGGGACACCTCGCCATGAAGGACGCCTCCGATAATACGGGCATCAGCTGAATCCTTTACAAAATTAAAAGACGTTTGACTAATACAAACTTCAGTTGAAAAAAGAAATCAGTTACGCTCAAATTAAGTAATTTATGGTCAAATGTCGCCTTGTGCCGGGACACCTCGCCATGAAGGACGCCTCCGATAATACGGGCATCAGCTAAATCCTTGACAAAATTAAAAGACGTTTGACTAATACAAACTTCTGTTGTTATAGCCTAGGCTATTTCGGAGTCGTCCGAAACCTTTTTTCGGTCCGGAAGCACAATAAGTTTAATATCCAGACTCTCGTTATGACAGACACGGTACGGCACCTTTCAAAATGAGACACAGCTGAAAAATACATTATCCGTGTTTGGTTAGCATATTTGTTTCTTTTGCTGGATTTACGATTGATTTCATATTGCTCATCGATTGAAACCGTTGACAATGTAAATAAATGTTACTCCTCTATAGAGTGATCGTTTTCTTACGAAATTCATCTGTTTCCCTCCTGTTTTGTTACTGGTTGCCATGGTTTCGGTCAGGTCGTTGGATAGAGTTTATAGAATATAGCAAACGTCGGATTCAAACTCGCAGTTAAAGTGCTATATAATTCTTGGGGATGGATATAGCCAGATATGAAACTGCATTTTACTTGTTTTTATGCAGACGTAATGAATGCTTTAGAACAGGTGAAGAAAAAACTTGATCACGTGCGTTTCTTGTTGCCGTAAAATCTCTTTTTAAAGTGGACAGCGCGAAAAGCTTTTTTCTGGCGGCTTCGGTCTCTTGTCAGCCGACACCAAAGTTTCCCGCCGCACACGAGTTTAAGAATTTATATTCAGATAATCGACTGTCAAGGGAGCTAAAGGTATCGGCTGTTTTATCGATGTATTGCCGGGATAGAAAGTGTCAGAACTTTTTTTTTTGCCGCTAAAATCAGTAATTATTATGTGATTGAGTGTAACAGAAGCCTACGGTAAAAGATTAAAAAAAAGCAATTGCGTCGTTCACGTAGCGAAATGATAACGGGTGAAAAGCTCTTGCTTCTTTTCAACCTCGAAACTACTATGTGTGAAGTGATTTAATTAAAGAATAAGGAGAATTCAGATACCAGAAAGCTTAGAAAAATTTTGCGAGCTCTGCGTTGAGAATCGAACTCACGACCTCCGAGATCTCGTTTGGACGCTCTAACAACTGAGCTACTGGAACTCTAATGGAACAATAGACAACTCCCAAAGCACAATCTCAGCCAAAACGCTAAAAATCTTCAATGTTTACATAACTTTGGGCTTATAGAAGATAATGTCACAGTTTTTCAATGACCATGAAATTCAGAGTCGGGTAGTTAGTTAATCAATTGTGGCCCTGAAAAAATTTTAAGGAAAAAAAACTACGAATTTTTAAGAAAATGCTTTTTTAGTGAGAAGGACTCTTAAACGCTGACAGACGTCAACAAATAGCGAAACTATAATTTCTATATGTTTGCTTTGCTCGAAATCGCGCACATTTACAAGGACCTAAAGCGTTTTGCTGACTTGCAAGGACCCATCTGTTATAACGATGCCCAAAATAATGGGATGAATCTCATAGGTTATTAGATATAATCGTGTAAAGTTTGCTTATCATTTTCGCATAAAATTATGACCTAAATTTGGAAACCG